AGAACTAGATCTATAGTGCAAAATATATATAGACTAAATAAACAATGCATAGTTTCCAGCCAAGGAGCGCGGCACTGCCTTACATATAGGGCACATGTAGATAACGACAGGCATTCTAGCACGCGTTATAAAAGAACTAGATCTATAGTGCAAAATATATATAGACTAAATAAACAATGCATAGTTTCCAGCCAAGGTCTAAACGCGATAATTTTTTTTTTAACTGAGGTTTATATGCACCAACTATATTAAGACAACTTTAAAAAAAAAAAAAAAGAAGAGTTTTGATAATAACCAAAGGATGTTAAAGATTGCATTCTGATCTCTTCGTGCTGGGTGCAATGCGTCTCCAACATATGGAGGACGGTGAAAGACTCGAAATAAATCTTTTATTATAGGACTACCTGTATGTTTGGCCTTTACCACAGCCCAACAACAGTGACTCATATTCTACTAACACATGTATAGACCGGGTGGGAGGAGATTGGTGTACTTCGCCTTTCAGTTCAGAGCCTTTTTTTATATAATAACGGGTGGGGCGGTGGCAAAGATTAAAAAGAGTACAGTGCACAACGAGGCAGCCTTACACCAACGCGTGCTGAAAAACTGATTTTTATTGTTTGGTATGGCGTAGCGCTCGGTGAGAAATTTTAGGTTTAAGGGCAGAATGATATCACAAGGGCAGTATGATATCATAAGGGCAGAATGATATCACAAGGGTAGAATCATATCACAAGGGCAGAATGATATCACAAGGGCAGAATGATATCACAAAGTAAAAATACCTCCTTCACAAAGGTAGAAAATAGGGAAGCTTCACCAAACTTAATCGCTTAACTTTGGAAGAGTGGGCTGCTACTAACGTTACACTTGACAAGAAATGCATCCCAATTAGTGCTAAAATCTGGGATTTTTTCGCGCACCTATTGAACGTAACATTCCAGCTATAAATACATCCCTACAAAATTATCATTACACACTGTTATTTATCTTGCGATTTCTTTTCTTTGTGTTTCCGTCTTTGCAAATTTTGTCATTCAATATGGACATGTTCCGTTTATTCCAGTGTTTCCCAACCTTTTTTGTGCATGCCCCACCTAAGCATTTCTAAAATTCTCATGCACCCACCCCCCCCCCCCCCCCCCCCCCCCTCCTTTTTTTTTNTCGCGCACCTATTGAACGTAACATTCCAGCTATAAATACATCCCTACAAAATTATCATTACACACTGTTATTTATCTTGCGATTTCTTTTCTTTGTGTTTCCGTCTTTGCAAATTTTGTCATTCAATATGGACATGTTCCGTTTATTCCCGTGTTTCCCAACCTTTTTTGTGCATGCCCCACCTAAGCATTTCTAAAATTCTCATGCACCCCCCCCCTCCCCCCCCCCCACACTTTTATTTGTCATATATATAATTTTTAATATTTGAAAAAGAGTTGTTCACTGAAGAAACTTAAATGATAGTTTTAGGAAGAAATCACCAGGACATTGGTAAGAGATCGTAGTTATAATAATAGTAAGTACATTTTCGAAACATATAATGGAGAATTGAAAGATATTTCTAGAGTATTTCAATTATTAGTAATTATTTATTATTTGAATTTAGTGAGATTTTTGTGCTTGATGCTTGCAGCAAAGAGATTTTATGTTTGCTTCAAATTTAGTTAGCTTCAGTCTCAAGTCTCCCCTTTGTGTTATATCAAAAATTTAGTTAGGTTCAGTCTCAAGTCTCCCCTTTGTGTTATATCAACAATTTAGTTAGCTTCAGTCTCAAGTCTCCCCTTTGTGTTATATCAACAATTTAGTTAGCTTCAGTCTTAAGTCTCCCCTTTGTGTTATATCAACAATTTAGTTAGCTTCAGTCTCAAGTCTCCCCTTTGGTTTATATCAACAATTTAATTAGCTTCAGCCTCAAGTCTCCCCTTCGTGTTATATCAACAATTTAGTTAGCTTCAGTCTCAAGTCTCCCCTTTGTGTTATATCAACAATTTAGTTAGCTTCAGTCTCAAGTCTCCCCTTTGTGTTATATCAAAAATTTAGTTAGCTTCAGTCTCAAGTCTACCCTTCGTGTTATATCAACAATTTAGTTAGCTTCAGTCTTAAGTCTCCCCTTTGTGTTATATCAACAATTTAGTTAGCTTCAGTCTCAAGTCTCCCCTTCGTGTTATATCCAGTCGATTATTTTGAAAAAAAAAAAAAAATTTCTTCAAAAATCATATATGGCACTAAATCCAAATTCATTTAAATATAGCTGAAGATGGAAACGGTAACTGAAGTATCTGTTAACGGTTGATGGTAAAGCATTTGTGAGTTATTTAGCCGCTATCTTTGAAAAACTAAATATATTTCGCACATTTGGTCGAATTTGGATGTTTCATTTTTGTTTCCTCACAAGCCCTGCCACCGTTCCTTTTACATTAAATACAATTTTAACTGACTCATCATTTTTGCATTTCTGTGAGTTCTTCATATTTGAAATAGACAAATCCACTAATATTGGCTGCACCATCCAAATGGAAAATCAATTTGTTTCAAATCAGAAAATCTTTCTTTTAAATCAGTCGATAGAATTTTCAGATGATCGACACTAACAAATACAATTATAGCCGTATCAGACAATGACAAGTATAGCGGTATGAGGTAAAAGTGTCACATAATCTACATTTTGTTCTTCACAATCATAGCTTGAAGAGACGTTCATATTTAGCGTTAACTTTAATTAACTTTAATGGCATTGATACACTTATGACTGAATTTATTACTTCATTTTGAGCAGGCGAAATATTTTTGGCTACCAAATTTTCCCTGTGAATAACACAAGGCATAAGTAGCATTCCTGCATTCTCATCATTCATTAATTTTAAGCAGACATTTTTCTTGCCCATCATATTAGGAGCATCATCTACAGCACAAGAATTTATATTTGTTACATTATTGACATCTAAGTACTTTTTTTTAGCTTACTATATATATCTTTGGCGGTTGTGGTGCTTTCTAATGATTTCCAGAACATCCTTTCTTCAGCAAAGTACTCTTTATCAATATATCTTACGAATGTTATCAATACAGACTGACTCACTGTCTCTCTAATTAGATTCATCCATTTCCACTGAGAATTTTCTTGTTTTCAGCTTTTCAACAAGTTGTATATACCGTAACGTATTTTGTCTATTCCTCTGCTAACAGTGTTGTTACTGAGTGGTCTAGCTTTCACGTCTTTGTCATCTTTTTCTAGAACTGTTTTAACAAATGCTGAAATTGATGGTTTGATTAAACTCTCACCTGTAGTATGATTTTTCGCAAATTCAACAACGAGTAAGGACATTTCATAAGTAGCCTCAAGAGAACGATTGACAGTAGCAGTATGAGCAGTAAATTAAGACATTTATATATTGCTCTATTTCCAAATACAAGCTAAATCATAGTAGACGGTTGGTTTTCAAATTCTAGACAACTCATTTTCCGATTGTCCCCCTAAAAAATCAAATTGCCCCCCTGTGGGGCGTGGACCCCACGTTGGGAAACACCACTTTATCCGATGGACTTAAAATTATGCATGGTTACCCAATGCCGTAGACAATGTAACACTATATGATCAGTAGGTCGGAAATGAACTCCACTGACCCTTGAGTGACCTCTGCAGGTCAAATCATGCAACCCAGCTTTGACCCACTTCTTGATCGTTAATTGAGCTGAAACTTTGTAAACGTACCCACCACTAAAGGGAGTACAAACAATTATGACAAGAAGGTCACAGATGACCTCCAATGACCACCGAGTAACCTATGCGGCTATCTCAGGAACGGAAATTGGGATCAATGACGAGTCGCCGCCGCCATTTCACGGATGTCACTTCGCCACCGCCTTTTTTGCCTCCGTGTGTGCCTCACACTGTGACGGACGGATGCCAGCAAAAAAAAAAATGTAGGAGAAAGAAATTACCATTTACAGGCTATTTTGTTAAGTTGGCATCTATAAAACAGTATGAAGCTCAAGGCCGTTGCTCTGAACAGCAATAAAGATTCGGATGTGATCGGTTTGCGATTTAACTACAATGTCAGACGAATATCTGTACCGAACAATCGGTCTCGTATATCAGTCATGGATGCCGGTGAAATACGGAGCCAGTGGAACAGTAGCCTTATATTCAAGGTGCTTTAGAAGTATGTTAAGCTCTAAATTTGTTACCTTGGTTGATAATGGATTGTTATGATCCATTTGATGCAGTCAATACATCAGCATGAACGTGGATTGCTCAAAGATATATGCTTACAAAATGCACACATGCACTAGGGCATTATAGGACTTAACTCTACAAGACCACGGGGAAATAATTTAAAAATACATTTAATTAGATCATTTATTCTAATGGACATGTACGTCTCTAAATATGAAACATTTTATAATTAAATACAATTCAATAATTGATGCAATTTACTAATGTTTAACACGACATTGTCTATATTAATAAATGAATTTATAACACACACACGCACTTTCTCTCACACACAAACAAACACACCCACTCATACACACACATACATAAATATGCAATTGAAGAGACTTTGTTGCATTATGTTTTATCTATTTAAAAATCAATCCAAGGGCTCGTTGCTAATGAAATAAAGCCGGCCCACGGCGAAGAATTTATCTTTTGCATTGAGGAAGGTTGGAGCACCAGAATTGGAAGTATCAGACACAGGTCAGGAGGGCGGGAAGAACCCATTGACCTGTCTACCGCAGGTTGGTCATGACATAAATGTTAATATTGGGCAGACTTTCTTTGTTGTTTTTTTTTTTTTTTTTTTTGGGGGGGGGTATTTTTGGGTTTTAATCTCATCTCGTTTTCCGTGCTTCTCTCTGCCTCATTGCTGTGTATCTCTCAGGCTGTATCAACTTTCTTTATCTTGTTGTCTCTCTTTCTTTATAGATCTCTTACTGCAAACTGTGTTTTATTTTCAGTGAGATATTTGACAAGCAATAATTGAAAAAAAAAATGGCTTACCCAGTTCCTCAAAATAAATCTACAACGCATCGATGTTTTGATATTGTTTAATGAAATATAGACGAGGGAACTCAAAATGAACCTGACATGTTGCAATATATAACAATGATTACCTGCAATATACAACAATGGAGAATGGATCTTAATCACCCTTTCATAAAATTAAGAAATAAGTGACCCGTTTTTAGGAGGAAAAAAACAGAATATCAAAAAAGCTAAGAGTGAGCTTCATAAGAAATGGAAAGACAACAAACAGGACTTGACTTCACTCTAGTTGTTTAAACTGCAGATAGCTTTTTTCTTTAATGCAATCTTCATTTTCTCACTTAATATTGATTTTTCCATCTTATTTAATATTGATTCTTGCATCGCATGGAATTACGATTCTTCCGTCTCATGTAATATTGATTCTTCCGTCTCATGTAATATTGATTCTTCCATCTCATGTAATAATGATTCTTTCGTCTCATGTAATAGTTATTCTTCCATCTCATGTAATAATGATTCTTCAATCTCATGTAATATTGATTCTTTTATTTCATGTAATAATGATTCTTCCATCTCATGTGACATTGATTCTTCCATCTCATGTAATATTGAATCTTCCATCTTATTTAATATAGATTCTTGCATCGCATGTAATAACGATTCTTCCATCTTATGTAATATTGATTCTTCTATCTCATATAATAGTGATTCTTTCGTCTCATGTAATATTGATTCCTCCATCTCATGTAATATTGCTTCTTCCATCTCATGTAACAATGAATCTTTTATCTCATGTAATAATGATTCTTCCGTGTCATGTAAAAATGATTCTACCATTTCATGTAATACTGATTCTTGCATCTCACGTAACATTGATTCTTACGTCACATTAAATATTGACTTTTCAATCTCGGCTTTTTTTTTATTCTTCCATTTCATTAAATATTAAATAATTTTCCTAATGAACTGTGGACCTTGCCATTACACCGGAACCCTGTCACACACAGTCCCCAGCAAGTACTTTGTTAAATATTTGCTGACTCCTTGTGTCGGGTGCGTCTCCTCATTTTGACACGCAGTGGTGAGGTCTAATAAAGGGAAGTAAACAAGCTTGTCCCGCAGGTCTTTGAACACTTCCATTTGGATTTTCACGTACATCCGGCTGAGCATGTCCCCCATCCTGTAACCGTAACCTTTCCTCACAATGTGAGGCGCCTAAAATTAGGAGAGAAATGGTACATAATATTAATACGGATAACCCGTTCACTGACCCTCACTTTCCTGTCTATCTCTCTGAACTGTTGCTTCCTTACATCCCCACAAGACAACTACGCTCTTCCATTGACAATAGAACCCTCAGTTAGGGTTCTTGGTTTTGATTCTGGTAGCCACTTGCGAGGAACTACTTCCATGCGCCCACGTTCTGGAACCAGCTCCCCTTCCACATCCGTCATTGTGAAACCTCGTCCACTTTCAAAAAGTCCCTTAAAACCCATCTGTTTAGGTCCGCCTATGACCTGTGATGCACCCTCCTTGCCCTGCCTCATTTTCTGTCTCGGGTTGATCCTGTAGTATAGGCCAAAACGTGCCAAAATGTACTCGTTTTTATAGCCATTTTAATGTTTAAGCTACTGTTTCTTTCACATTGTAGTTACTATTCTAGTGTCTCTCGTTTTTCATTGTTAGTTTACTTTAGCAGTTTAAATAGTTTACATATTTTTAATAATTGTAAAGCGCCTAGAGCTGTAAGGTAAGCGCTATACAAAAATGCCTCAATAAATAAATAAAAATCATAATTTTATAAAACTAAGTCCATCCACTTGTTTCGAGTCACGTGATCTTATCTTTGAGAAGTAAAGTAGTATCTTTAGGACACTTAAAGTTGCGTGAAATAAAAATTAAAACCATTTTTTTATATGTTACTTTTTAAAAAAATTTGCAAGTGCGCTTATTCGAAAAGTTTCATGGAAAAAAAAAAGATTGATGGTTTCATGACTACAAACAAGACCAGAATCACATAAGAGCGTTATTTGTGGTCAGTGCTGTGTGTGGACAACGACTACACACTTCAACTGTTAATTCTCTCAATTTATTTCATTCGAAAAACGTAATGATCCATACGTTTTAATTTGGCAATGTGCTTGGAGCGTTTACAATGTTTGAAAACGAAAGGACCTGGGTTTTTTTTTTTTTTTTTTTTTTTTTTTTTTGTTTTTTTTTTTTTTTTTGGAAAAAAAAAAAGACTTTTTTTTTTTTTTTTTTTGTAAAAAAAAAAAAAAACAAAATTTTTTTTTTTATTTTTTTTTTTTTTTTTTTTTTTTTTTTTTTTTTTTGTTTTTTTTTTTTTTTTTTTTTTTTTTTTTTTTTTTGTGTTTATTTTTTTTGTTGGAAAAATAAAAGGACCTGTTTTTGTTTTATTGTTCGAAAAACAAAAAACAAAACAAATTTTTTTAATAGTCTTCCAATTTCCATATGGATTTCTTGGGAACTTATTTTCTGGTTCTCCTTTTTGAGTCAAACACCATGTCCAAAAATCTCTTAAGTTCAATTCCCTTAAAACGAAAGCACTGGATTCATTTCTTGTGGCTTTGGCTTTTCTTCTGAGAAATGAATCGAAATTTTATAGAAAACAACTCCGTCTACTTAAATTAAGGTATTAATCGCCAACAGTTCCTGTATATAACGCCATTATAGCTGTATAAAAGGCTCTTCACCTGAATATCTTCAGTAAATGATTTCTAAACTATGAAAGTATTCAATTATTCAATAAAAAGCATATTTTATATTGAGGAAACCCCACCCTCTCATGTAACTTTCACGTCGCAGTGTCAAAATAGGAATCAAAGGGCTAAAGACTATTATTATGTAGGACGTGTTTACGTCACATTTCCCCGTGCCATCAAATCTGTATAACCTAATCTAGCAGACGCCACGTTCGTATTGGGCGTGGCCTATTCCCTTTCATCTTGGCGTGTTTAATACCGCTACCAATTAAACATAATTAATCTGTTTTCATAGCATTTTGTGACGCCGCGCAGCAGTTTTGAGTATCCGCGTAGCAAATTCCATGTAAGTGTGTTTTGTGTTTGTAGGCTGTAAAATTATCGTCCTTTGTTATGCACTGTTTAGAACGAGCCATAAGTTAAAACAAGAGATTAGTTGCTCCCGATAGACAGTAGTGCGTAAACCTCTTGACCGCGAAGTTAGTCGCCACCTCAACGTGGCACACAACTAGTGGTCTACAAACCTCCCGTTACTCACCTGAAGGGCGGCGATGACGTTTGGGTTGCGAGCAAACACTCTGATCAGCGCGTCTCGTATAACGACCATCTTCTCTTCATACACGCTGATGTGCTGTCCAGTGAGATGGAGGTAGTGGTTGAACAGTATGATATGGCGACCCGTGGACGGGATGTCGTCGATGGCAATGTTGGCGGGCAGCATGTCCTTTAAGGGATGCGCCCAAACATTCTGGAAAACACATATAGAAAATAAAACCAAGGGTCAGGGGGGGGGGGTTGGGGGGGGCATGAGAAAAGTCAAAACACAACAGCGGATCTTTTTTTTTAAAAAAATCATCAATTTTTTCATTGTCTTACACCGGACCCAGTCCTTCCCATATTGCATGTTGAAATTGAGGCTGACGATCAGCATCCCATTTACCAGGAACTATTCTTTAAGTTAAAGAATGGCCTAAAGTCGTTAAAGCATCACCGAAGGTCGATAAAGAATGGCCGAAGGTCGTTTAAGAATGGCCGAAGGTCGTTTAGGAATGGCCGAAGGTAGTTAAAGTATCTTTTAGGGTCTTGGATTAGGCATTTATTTAATTTTGAGTGCTTGAAAGTCAGGGGAAGTAATGGATTTATTTATACAACGACAAGCATTTACGTCTCAACGCAGAAGTGTATCTTGTGTATATTTTATTTTAACAAAACTGACGTACACCAGACTCTTTAACCAGGTTTTAATTACTTATAAATACAGCATTAATCTTAAACGATCTTAAAGTACGGGCATAGAAAGGCTGGGCTCGCGCATAATGTATCAATGTCTGACGCTGAAATCTAAATTACACTAGCTGTCTTAAAAGAAATGGATAATGAATGCTGGATGTCACTTAATTAGAGTAGTTGTCTTGAGCTGGATTTCCCCAAGAGGAAACAGGTCAATTCATGCGTAATGAAATACAAATAACTTACTCTGGATGACCTGAACGGGTTGGAGTGAGGGAACCACTTCATTGTAAAGTTGTCTGATTGGTTGACACACAGGAGGGGCTTGTGCCATTTTTCAGTGCTGGCCTTGAGAATCTGATCGCATTTCATCCGGCTGACCTCCGTGTAATAATGTCCCCGTAGATTGGAGTCTCCTAGCATTAGAATCTGACATGAAGAAAAAAAAACAGAAAAAAACCCGGACAATTTAAAATAAGTCTTTTACACATTGCCAACTTAAGGTAATGATAGTAGATCTTGTTTGTAAAATGTTCACTGGCTCTAGGAATATCCTCAAAATTTGCAGCAGAGAAAAAAGCTAAAATAAATATTTTCAATTTTTAATTGCGTCTTAAAATTCATATTTTTTATAAACTAAACAACACTTTTATATTCAGATGTAAACAAATATTAGGTTTAAAGTTTTATCGCTTTAAATTAATGTGTAAAATGCAAAATGCAACCTAATTTCAAATGTTTCCAATTGTTCTAAAATTTCATCTCACTATGTGGTTCCGACTCCCGCCTGTTTCACCCTTTTTAGAAACCTGACCTGGACATTTTTCCTGCAGCCAGCGTCATAATCTTCTTTAACCTGACACATCAGCGACTGCCAGGCGCCCCGGAAGAAGTACCCAGTTGGTTCTCGTTGCTCCCACGTCATACGTGGGGGAACCGTGCTACAGGGAACTGAGGGTATCATCCTTGTGTCGGGTTTTACCGAACCTATCAGTCCTGTTCCTGTCAACGACAATAGACTACACCATAAGCTTCTCCTGTTTTGTGGCGTCTAAAGCATGACGTGTTCGAGACCATACATTTTATAGACGTTTTAGGAAACTATCAAACAAAATAAGAGTTTAATAGATCGTACCTTTCTGATAATATGTATTGCAATATTTTAAAAAAAAGAATTATGGATTTTAATTAATGTTATATTCAGCTCAAAAGTATTTTACCATTTTGGAATTGTAATTTTTGTAATTGGTCTTCATTAACACACCCGGATGACTTTCTCTGTTAACACATCCAATGACATTGTATATTTTATTTTCTAAAATTAATTTATTTACCATTATTTGCGTTAGCGACTTACAACTGTACAGACGAGAAGTAATGTAGTTTTACTTTGACGCAAAGCAAGGTCTGCTTTAATATAAGAAATGAAGAGATGCACAATCACTTACTTGGTAATACAATCAATTACTTGGTAACACAATCACTTACTTAATAACACAATCGCTTACTTGTTAACACAATTACTTACTTGGTAACACAATCACTTTCTTGGCAATACAATCACTTAGTTGGTAATAAAATAACTTACTTGGTAATACAATCACTTACTTGTTAATACAATCACTTAATTGGTAATACAATATTTTACTTGGTAATGCAATCACTTACTTGGTAACACGCGAACCAGTAGCTTTTGATCAGTGCCGATGAAACCTATTCTGGGATGATGGTGAATGAAACAGCACGATATAAATAGAATTATGACGTTATATAAAAGTTAATGTATTCCGGCAGGATATAAAGAAAAATATGGCATGATTTAAATGTAGTTAGTATCAATATATTATAACTAAAGACTATTGTTAAACGCCGATTATTCCATACTGCATTAATATTAGATCGCCTCTTCAAAATGTCTTAGATATTTACACAGTGCTGACATGATCCGCAAGAAAGCTGTATCAACATTAAACGTAGATAATCTGGCATCTTCAAATAACATTGTCTCTCATGATGAAATCATTATTCTTTATTTCTCTCGTCGGCTCCTTGTCTCGTGAAAATGGGGCGGGGGGGGCGGAGAAAGAATCAGGTAGTCTGTTCCGAGTTACATTTTTTCCCCTTTTATTAAGGGGAGGCATATTCCAGCATTTGCGATGATTTTGTTTTTTCGTAGGCCAACCCTGTTGGCAATAATTCTAGCTAAATTTCTAAATATCTTTTCAATGGTTAAACATGCTTTGGCTACATAAGCGAAAAAAAAAATTCTTTGAGATATTTTTTTTGTTATGCCACTATCTTGTCCCCTGTTGGAGATCGTATGGGCTTTACCATTCGACAACTAATGTTATTCAGACTGTGGTCTAAAAGTTCAAGGCAAAAAGACGTAAGGTTTCATACAAAATTTAACCGTGATTTGTATGAAAAGAGACGAGCTGTAAAGAACTTAATTTTCTCACGGCTTTCCCAGTCAGTTAATACTGTCACTTAATCTAATTTTTCAGAATATTGAGTTGATAGTTTTGAAGCGGTTTTGTACGTTGATACGGGTGGCCGGACATTAAGTGAGACGTCCTTTACAGTTAGTCGATGGCTCGCAGAGCTTTGTGCAATCCGCAAAGTCGTCTGACCAGAAATGTTGGCGCGTCGTGTCCCAATATGGACAGAAATAGAAAATTGCAGTCTATTAGTGGTTGACACTTACATTTTTCTGTGCAGCACCTGAATCTCAGAACTGAGCAGAGGCGCGTCCAGCTCGCTAGAAATAAGACGGGTCCGGTTGTAATCTCCACAGCTCAACTTAGGCTTGACCGGACGTCCGCAGTACCAGGGAGATCCGTTCACTGACGTCACATTGCAAATTTCACTGGGTCCATAGCCAGGCAGCACTGGCGCGTTAAAACATAGCGTCGCTTCACTGGCCTGTGTGGCACAATGTTCAATGCAAATTGCATCACAAATAATATAGGTGTTTATCTTTTATTACTTTAGAATTTATCAAAATTTATGTTTAACTATAATACGGCGAAATGGTTTTTGAATTTACTAAGTTTAGAAAATAATTATCATGAGCAAATTAGTCTAAATCCAGAAATATGTACATTGTTCCTGTCCTTTGGATTGTAGCTATTTATCTTATCCGCCCACATATCACAATCAAAATACTGTCTGCTCATTAACACTGGGAAACTCCGAAACAAGAAGGAAATATATTATTTTATAAAACAAAATAATCCAAAGACTTAATAGAAACCAAGAAATAAAAAGCAACGAGAAGAATACAAAATCTTCGTATATCGAAATTTGTGAACTGAGTTTGCGTTCTACTAAAAAAAAAACATCAACTCTACTGTAACAAATTTATCATCATTTTAATTTGTGTACGGTTGTGAAGGATCTGATCTTTTGAAATGCTTACTTATAATTATTTTGTAAACTACGCTAAGTATTATTAAATAAATTTAATTTTTGAATTAGTGCTAATTTAATATTTAAAATGGAAACTTCAAACTTACTAAACTGTTCTCGAATCCAGCCACGATAGGGGCTAAAGTCTTCAACACAAGATGACTTGTAAACAGAACTGTGAAGAACTCTCTTGGATATGTCAGTTCGACAAAAACTCTGTTACAGAAAACAAAACGAAATAATACATGTATTTAAATAATTTGTCTGAAACATTGCAAACGCCGTACTGGTAAATGCAGTACGCATGATCACATTACATCAGTGCATGCCAAAACTTGCGTGTGACGACACAGTGTTGTGTCACCTGCAGGGTGTCGGTGTGTCGCGCGGAAATGAGCGCAACTTAGATTCAGCAGTTTTTGGACGCTAAAAGGGAAAGAAGAAAAGTTCAAGACAATGTGGTGAAAATGGTGGATTATATTAAAAGCAGAACGCTTGAATCAGGGTTGTCTTGATATTATTTGTCAAGAAAAGCGATTACAAATCTTAGAGGTTGATTCCACCCACAGAAATTCTCTGGCTTTTGATGAGGTCATGCGCTGGTCGTATAATTCGTGTATTCAGAGAAATAATATTTACATTTTAAACATAAAATAAGCAAAATGAATTTCTTCATCCAATTTTTAGTTTTAACATTTTTTTTGGACAAAACTCACATATCTTGATCTTGCTGACATATTTAAATGTGCAAATAAAAAAAAAAAACCCAGCCAAGGAAGTGAGAAAATAAAAAAGAAGTATTTTAAATTTGAGCTAAGGGAGTCAGGGTGGTGCTTTTGAAATGGAAAGAGGAAAAATGTAAAAAACGTATTCCATAGCAGCCGAGTGCGATCTAATATTGTGCGATCAACAGCTTCCATCAAAGATGTCTGCGTCGCATTTTGCGCTTTCGTTGGCAGGACAGGGTGCCTAACGTGGAGGTTTTGGAACGTGCACTCATGTTTAGCATATTCTCCTTTCTAATCAAGAGGCGCCTTCGCTGGTTAGGTCATGTACGGAGAATGGAGGAAGGACGTATCCCAAAGATACTGCTGTATAGAGAGTTGGCAGAGGGGACAAGACATATTGGACGACCGCACCTGAATTTATTGACGTTTGCAAACAAAGCATGAGGGAAGCCAATATTGAAACTAACGAATGGGAGTTTATTGCCGAACATCGCTCCAACTGGCGAACAGCAGTGTTTGAAGGAGTGAAAAAGGCAGAAGATACTCGAAACAAGGCCCTTGAATCAAAAAGAACAATTCGGAAAACAAGAATTTCCCGGGATTCAATATTCTCCTGCGAGAGATGCGGCCGTGATTGCCATTCTAGGATTGGCCTAGTGCGCCACTCGTCAAAGTGTAGAACTACATAGCTACTCCATCGTCTCAAGAAGACGGAAGGATGCCATATAGATATATATTTGTGTGGATTAGTATGACGTTACTGGCAATAATTGATGTGAATTACTTATCCTCAATCCCCACAGTCGTCCATTAAGAGTTAGTAGTAAAACACGACTTCTCACTTTTGTATCACTGTATATTTATTGTTGTTGTTCGTCCGTCGAGGATCGACGATGACCATCGAGTCGTCTGGTGACTGATGACTTGCACGGGTGACTTTTGTTTAAAGTGAGGAAGAGTTGCGCAGCGTCAACCTCACTCTCTCGTCCGAGCCCACCCTATCCAGTGGCAAGACTCTACGTCAAGACGACCAGGGATGGGTACGGTTGCAGGAATGGACATTGTTTGCGCCTTACGGGACTCCAACTCCGGGTTTGAATTCAGAGTTTCCTTCTCTTAGATGAGTTGCCGACCAAGGTTAACGAGTCTCATCCACCCGGGGTGATGTTTTTGCTTGACCGGCCTTTGGCTGAAATTGAGGTTTGCTCAGTTTAGACCATTCGGCCACCCAGTCACCCATGCAGTGAATGACCATGGCGTTCTACGTGTCTGGTCATGTTCTCAGCGATTCACACCACTGTGCTGTCTCCGCCTTTTGTCCGTTGACCAAGTTGTGGTTCTTCCGCACAATTTTCTGGATTCAGTCTTTACATGCTATGGGGGACAACCCCTTTTTTTCCGAAAGTTCTATGCCCTTTAATATATTTATTACTAATATATTTATTACTTGAATACGGCACATCACATGAAATAATATCACTGAAGATCACAATAAAGATAGGTATCATTTTTATAACTTCTTCGGTACCCTTCACAAATCAATATTAAGATATTGATCAATAACTAGAATGAACATGGCCAGCGCCAAAATATATGAATCCCTTCAGAGCAACACTGATCGTTAAAACTCATATCCCATAATTCCTAACTTCCTGTTATTTCTTTTTTACAAAACAATACATTATTTTACGAAACAAAATTGATATCTGAGTATTAGATCTGTGACAAATGTAATATCAAATAAATAGATAAATAAATAAATAAAGGGAGATTTATTTCTATTTTAACTGAAAATGATGATGAAGTTGTTATTTTTCGAATGCACTCCCGGGCTACGCCGGATATATTGGCTAGTAAATTATATTATAGGCCTACAACTATGTTTTGAATTTGTTATACAGTGACTCGTCTTCCACTAACACGGGTAAAAGATGGTTGAGACGTGATTGGTTTACCAAGCTTTCCAAGCGTTCTTTAGAATAACGTATCAAAAGAATTAAATAATGCACAGCCAGGTAGTGTTTCGTAAACGCCCTGCTCACACCTGAGTGTTGTTTTTTTTTTTTTTTTAAAAAGGGCGTAGGGCTTGAGTTAAATTTCAGTTTAAGGGCAGAATAAAACCACGAACGTGTAGAATAATATCACAAAGGAACAATGCATCCTAAAAAAGTAGATAATATCACAAAGATGGATACTATCACAAAGGTGGATACTATCACAAAGACGGATACTATCACAAAAGCGGATACAATCACAAAGGCGGAATGTAGTGAAGCTTTACCGGATTTGGCTGTTTAACTGCTAAACAGTGGGAAAAATCTCCTAATGATCATGGACATTAGGAAGAAATGATGGACCATTTCTTGGATTATTTTATTTTTTAAAAGAATACCAACCTGAGCTGACCCTCCCAAGGTAGGAGGCAGGTGACCAGGTAGGTGCCGTTCTTGTGATCTGTCACGTGACAAGCCACGGAGCTGCTGCGGTCTTTGAGCCAAGCTCTGACCTCGTCCCCACCCTTGACCTTAGGCTGACCGTACCCGTCGCTCATGTCCACTCTCAGGGCCACTGTGTCGCCGACAACAAAAGTCGAGCTGCAAGCCAGAGAACAGACATGGTCAGGACAAACAACTTCACGAAGTCATAAAAATATGACTCTAATTATCATTGTTAACATTAAAAGAGTTGAATTGAGTACATTCTTGGAGGAAAAACTTTTTTTTTTAATTTTCGGATAGAAAAGAGCATAATGGGTTGGTGCATATCATTTCCGCTTTCACATCAGTGGTGGTTGTCATGGTTTGGCTGAGTAAACATGGATCGGATGACGTCACCGTGACCAGAGAGGAAAAGTGTTATTCAGCGACAAAGTATAATTTTATTTTAAAAATTATATTGTTGGGTCTGTTTTTGTTAACCCTACTCAACTTACTGGAGTCGAGCTTATGAACAACAAACATGAGTTTTGAGCCCACCCAAATTGGTAAAAGTAAAAGTAGGCGGCAACCACGGCCAAGGTACTCTGTTTTACAAAAATACTAACGTAGCTCATATATATATATATATATATATATATATATATCTATATATCCCTGACCATGATGCTATAGCTCCTTAAGAGTGTTTTGTTATTTTTTTTTTTTTTTTAGGTTTTTAAAGAACTATCATGGAACTTGTTACAAATTACTCTATCCGTTCAATAACAAGTATTTCCTAATGTCAATTGAATAAAATAAAAAAACTAACATAGCTCATATATATATATATATATATATATATATATATCTATATATCCCTGACCATGATGCTATAGCTCCTTAAGAGTGTTTTGTTATTTTTTTTTCTTTTTTAGGTTTTCAAAGAACTATCATGGAACTTGTTACAAATTACTCTATCCGTTCAATAACAAGTATTTCCTAATGTCAATGGAATAAAATTCCAACTTTTATGAACTTGATACTTACATATTATTATTATTATTATTGGTGTTTTTTTAAACAATAGCGAGGTACCCCAGCATAGGGCTGGTCTCACCACGTTGTACGTACAATTTAACAAACATAATCATGAACTTATTTTAAAACACACATCTTGTTCGCAGATTGTGTTATTTGTTTTCATGTCTACCTCTCGCTGTCCATTGTGCCACCAAGACAGAATGCTAAAGTATTCGTTTTCATGTCTACCTCTCGCTGTCCATTGTGCCACCAAGAGAGAATGCTAAAGTATTTGTTTCAGCCCCAACCAACGGAACCCAAGAGACACGCCCTCACCTCGTATTGACCAGAGTGACCTTAGAGAAGATGTTACTGGACGCTCGCTTCGCATCCGTCAGGGGCGGATCTGACAAGTACTCCCGCTCAAAGTCGTACAGCTCCGCCTTTGGGGGCGTCTTCAGGAATTCGGGTATCCACATGGCACCACAGCTGAAACAATTTGAGACGCCATGAGCAACATTTTTTAATAAAACATTTTTTTTAATGCTCTTTGCAGAATAGACCATGAGACTATTAACTCTCCTATTTACTCTCTCTTTCTCTATCTCACTCTTTCTCGCTCCCTCTCTCACTCTTTCTCTCTCTCTCTCTCTCTCTCTCTCTCTCTCTCTCTCTCTCTCTCTCTCTCTCTCTCTCTCTCTCTCTCTCTCTCTCTCTCTCTCTCTCTCTCTCTCTCTCTCTCTCTCTCTTTCTCTCTCTTTTTTAATAAAACATTTTGTTTAATGCTCTTTGCAGAATAGACCATGAGACTATCAACTCTCCTATTTACTCTCTCTTTCTCTATCTCACTCTTTCTCGCTCCCTCTCTCACTCTTTCTCTCTCTCTCTCTCTCTCTCACTCTTTCTCGCTCTCTCTCTCACTCTTTCTTGCTCTCTCTCACTCTTTCTCGCTCCCTCTCTCACTCTTTCTCTCTCTCTCTCACTCTTTCTCGCTCTCTCTCACTCTTTCTCTCTCTCTCTCACACTCTTTCTCGCTCTCTCTCTTTCTCTCTCTCTCTCTCACTTTTTCTCTCTCTCTCTTTCTCTCTACCTCCCTCTCTCACTCCTTCCCCCTCAGGCAAGTGGTGGAATGTAGATGTCATTTTCCTCTCTATATCTGGCAGTGGCAAACACCAAACATATATACTTGACAACGTGACAACACCCCCCCCGCCCCCCCCCAACCCAAACTGGAGACGAACCTTTCATAAAACACAACCACCAACCCCAATATAAAAAGTCTCTGCCCATTCCCCCCCCCACACACCATTCTTTAGAGTCATACTCATTAACCATTAATGATGTCGGGCGTTTCATCCACAATATCCAAGACGAATGAAGCGACGAACCGTGTCTCTATACAAGCCTATGGCACTAAACAACATTGACACTTCTCGTTCTTATTTAAGCTGATGGCATTCTACCCACCTTCTGACGTGTAAAATATATACCGTTCCAACCCCCTTCCTTGTAACATTTCAAACGTCAATACAAGAGCTCAAACAATATGAGGTAAGCAAAGCAGCCTGTGATGTTGCTATTTAAGTTTCTCAATTTAAAAAAAAAAAATAAAGGTACACCCCCACCCCGATCCCGATAAGCCGTCGCTCCTGCCACTCTACAGGTGCAGTGGCGTAGCTAGGGGGCAGGGGGGACATATGTCGCCACGTTAGGGGGCGCCAAAATGAGTATTAAAACTAATTATTTAATTTTATTTTGATGTAAACTAATGTATCCCAAATACGTTTGCAAGATTGAATTTTGGAGCTCCACAAATATCTTCATTACAAACCAGTTGGCAAGCATGATTTATGCGCCCCCATTGAGCATTAAGGGGCACCATTCTACTCATAAACCAAAAAGATCAGTTCGGGTTCAAATATTATTTTTCATATACTGAAAGTGGCATCTGGTTTTAACAATTAAAAAGGTTGGATAATTTCGAGTCGAATATTGGATTTTACGTGAGTTCAAGGAAGATAGAATAATAGTTCACATAAGTTGAAAAGAAAAACATAGATAACAAGTATTCGTCTCGTTGAATATAATCTGTAGCCTTCTCTCACTTGACGGCAGTTATCAACCGCCTGCAAAGCCAGTCTTAGAACACGACAGCCAGAAGGTTGAACAATACCGCAAGGATTACAACATACAAGAAGATGTGATTCAGAGAGATGCTACTGTTTATGCTGAGGAAAACACCAGAGATGTCGTTGTTGAACAGATTCAAAAAGACGAGGAACTTTCTGACAGTGACGAGGACAATGAGATTGAAGAATTTTCTTTTGATGAAGAAGCTAAAGATGGTGTTGTTCTTGTTCCTGCTGTCCTAAGATTTCATGGAGTTGGCTACTTAGAATTTGATCAAAGGACAAATTTATCGATAATACCACAGCCTCTTCGTGATGAATTGATAACTCTCGGATCTATACACTTTCAGCACAGAGGCAGTCTATCGTCAGCAGCAGGTGAACGTTCGATTAATTACTACGTCATGGTGTAAACGCCGACTAGCAAATGGAGAGGAAGTAAATCGCTCGTGGCTATGATATTCAACAATTAATAAAGCTGCTTTCTGTTTCTGATGTCTAGTGTTTACATCATCAAGTTCAAACTCACGATCTTCATTTGAGTTAACCAATGGTTTCAACAAATGGAGAAAGCCAGAAAAGCTAAAGTCTCATGGAAAACAGTCTCGGCCACCGCAGAGCTTCTACTACATGGAAGGAAGCCGAGCGGAGGATAATTGCTTAAACTGGAATTGATGTCCAGGTCAAAGCTCAAATTCAATTGAAAAAACAACGTTGGCGCGATATTTTAAAAAGAATACTTATCTGTATTAAGTTTCTAGTTTTATAAAATTTGGCTTGGCACTGCGGGGCCATGAGGAGCATCTGCATAAGGACGAAGATAAAAATGTTTGGAAACTTTCTCTCTGTGATCAAACTCGTTGCTCAGTATGATCCACTGTTAGAAAAACACCTACAATATGCCCGAGAAAATCCAGGTTCAGTATCTTATTTATTACCGGAAATCAAAAATGAATGTATCCACCTACTTGTATTTACTGTAAGGAATCAGCTGTTGAGTGAAATCAGAAAAAAACAAGTACTACGGTATCTTACTTGACTCAACACCCGATCTAGGACACCGGGAACAGCTTTCTCAGTCATCAGATTTGTGGATGTGGATTTTCAAACTAAAAAAGTAACCATCAAAGAATCATTTTTAGGTTTTGTTCAGATACATTCCAAAGACGCAGCAAGCCTTGAAAGAGTTATCGTAGAGAAACTGGAATCTGATAACATGCCTCTAGCCGACTGTCGGTCACAATGTTATGACAATGCTGCTGTAATGACCGGGCATATATCCGGCCTTCAACAGCGAATATGTGCCAGAAATCACAGAGCATTGTTCGTCAACTGTGACAAGCACAGCTTAAACTTAGCTGAAGTACACTCGGCTAAACAGGATCCAGTTGTTATCACATTTTTTGGAACAGTTGAAAGTATATATTTCTTTTTCTCTCGTTCAACAACTCGTTGGGAAGAATTAAAAAGATGTGTGCCAATCACAGTGAAGAGGGAGTCTGAAACACGCTGGAGTGCACGATCACAAGCTGTTAAGGCTATTTATGAAGAACTAGATGAACTAGTAGGGCTGTTGGAAAAATTATCGGAAGATGCAACTATGACGCCTGAAACCAGAAGTGATACAGAAACTCTGCTGGCAGGTATATTAAACTTTAACTTCCTAGTTTTGTTACATTTCTGGAACATCATACTTGGGAAAATTTAGCGTATCCAGAAATGGTTGCAGGATCCTACTATGAATTTCAAGGAAGCAGCATCTGATCTTGAATCGCTGGAGCAAGAACTTGTCAACATCCGTGATTATTTGAGCCAGGTTGCGGTAGACGATGGAAAAACAAGATGCACAACTTGGGGAATCGGGGTTGACAGAAGCATTAGACGAAACCGGGGGAAGCCTAGAGAATTAGCAAGAGATGCAGGACTTTCTGCAGAAGAAGAAATTGCATCTGTTATGAACAGCGTAATTGATAGACTCCAACAGGAGATATCAATACGGTTTCTACGTCTAAAAAAGCTAAACACCAAATTTGGATTTTTACTAGACGTCAAAAATCTTCTCGTTGAGACAAATCTCGATACACTTAGTCAAAATTGCTTAGATATTGGAAATTTCTACGACACTGACGTCAATGGTCTCGGGCTGTGCACAGAAATCGGAGACTGAAAAATGCTGCTCAGTACCCGGACTGAAGTTCTACCGGAAACTCCTTAGGATCTTCTTGGTTTTATTGTTTCATATGGAGATGACGTATTTCCGAATCTGCGCATTTCACTGCAAATATTTCTAACAATTGCTGTTTCAATTGCAAGCTGTGTCCAGTGCTTCAGCAAACTGAAGCTTGTTTTGTCTTATTTACGTGCTTCAATGGGACAAGATCATCTGAGTGATCTTGCACTTCTTAGCATCGAAAGAGAAACACTTGAGAATATTAATTTTGACAACGTGTTTGACGAGTTTGCGACAATCAAATCAAGGAGGATCAATTTGTTGTAGACTATCTCTCTTCCAGTAATGTATAATTAGTAGAGTATATATTTTTTTTCAAATAAATTGTGTAGGGAATTATTAGTCTGTATTATATTTGATTAAAATACCAGATGCCTCGAAAATGAACCCTATAAACCGTAAAAGTTCAACATTTTCTTGGGGGCTCAGGCTGAGCCCCCAGACTCTGTCGGTTTGAGAAGGGGCGCAGACTTTGTGTCATGTCCCCGGGTGCAGATGACTCAAGCTACGCCACTATACAGGTGGTAGCTAACGCTTCTGGTTTTTCTAGTCATAACTTCATACCAAGACGTGACTTACTCGACCGCTAAATTCATCCTGGCGTGATCGTCGTCAGCCGTGAAACTCGAGTTACCCTTCAACTCACTCTTCCAGAAAGAGTTAGGGTCCTTGGCGATTTGTAAACATTTGGGGTTAGAGATGAAATTTGTTATCGTTAAATTATGGGACGTTGCAAATTGGTGGCGATAGTCCAGGAATTGAGCCGCTGTGAAGTCAGGTGGTAAATTTCTGATGACGTCATTCTGGGTAATAACAAACATTTCAAAAATAATTCCAAATTAAAATGTTTAGAAACGTTTTAATAAAACTATTAAATTTTAATTTTTTAGAAATGCAGCGTTAATCACTCAATGTGTGTAGATATTGTTACCAGGTGGCTCTCGTTTTTTGTCCTATCATCAAATCCCAGTCTCTGTACAGCCTGATTCCTGCTGTCGTGATCGTATTTATTCCTGAGACAAACAAAAGAACATGAAAAATAAGTACTAAACATCTATCTTATGAGAGAATAACTTTTATTTCCCGGAAGCTCAAGTAGGATTGTATATTCTCATTACACTAAGGCTTTGTTATAGTGATAGTCTATAGTTATAGTCTATATTGGCCACCATCCTAGAACCGGCACACAGAAACCAAAACATAAATAAACAAATTAAACACTTTTTTTTAAATGATTTTTTTTTCTTCACCTAAGTAATCTAAATATTTTTGCACTGAGCAGAAAAATTGCTAGGGCTGTTTTTTTAAAAGACTTTTTGGATCCCTTTGGATCCCTTTTAACTAATATCCCAAACATGAGAGAAAAGGATAAACATAATCTCTTGGCCCTGGATTTTGTCGTTGCTTCTTTTGCATGAGGAACTTAACAGCTAAAAGAAATAAAGAACGTTTCTTACATGATCTCTGAGAGCATCACAATGCACACCAGGCAGACGGAGGAGCAGACGGGAAAAATAAAAGCCTCCTTGAGCCCCACTGTCAATCTGATGGGCATCATGCTAACTAGGTTTTTATCAATGCATCACGGCCGAGTCTGTCTTTCAGCTAGATCACACACCCATACATCATGGCCGCGTCTGTCGTTCTGCTAGATCGAACAGTCAAGTTAGCTGATGTTGCGTACTCCTATTAAAAAAAACCCATTCCAAACTCTGTCCCAACACTGACTACAGACATAAACCGGCCGCTTTTCTCACCACATGTCACACACCACTTGTCCTAGCATCAGTGTGGGACTCCTCTCTGATAAAATGTCTGCAAGCAAGCATGAGAGCGCATGCTTCGATCAAACGCAACGGAACAGAAGTAAATTTGTTTCTGGCCCAAATTCAGTGGCTCCTTTCTACGGGCTCCCGTACCTCGGCAGTAAGGGACCAGTGATTCTTTCAGAAAGTTTCCATTGAGATCTAGCAATGGGACCTGTCTCACGAGACA